ACGGGTGTCGGAACCCGAAATACCGACTCCTCGCACCTGATCATCCCTCCAAAGACCAGATCAATCCACTCATCAACAACTTCGGGTTCCGGGCTTTCATGTTTCAAAACATGAGGAATGGGGACAGTGTGAAAATATCGGCTAAGGTCATGGCCTGTGTCGAGGCCATCGATTGCGCTCCGGTATGAACCGGAAATATATATATACAGTACTGCATTTTCAATGACGAGTTATGTAACAAAAGCTTTGGGAATGAAAATTGAAAAGGCAGCATCGATTGAGCTGAAAAACAGTTGCTGTTCAGAAAAAAATTCTTTGGCTCAAGAAAAAAAGCAGTCTTTGTCACAAAAAAAAATATGTTGCTGAAAATGTTTGCAAAAGTCATCTTGGCAGCTTTCTGCTCTTCACTCAAGAGATTAGGCACCAATCTCGCATATTTTTTTGGCGCATCCAAAGTTATACTACACAATTCTTGAAATCAACTTGGCGCAATCTTTTCTTCTGATCAATAGCAGTTTTTCAGCGCAATCGTCTGAATTTTCACTTTTTATTCCGAGCACTTTTGTTAGATCCCTCGTATAAATAACGTGACAAATTTCAAATGTCTCAAGTTTATCTGATCATTAATAATTCAAATTCATGTTCGCACAGGATGTTTTTCAGGGTTTAAAAGTTTTCCAAGCGGCATTTTGGCATTCCCAGTTTGGAAGGAGCCATGCTCCCTTTATTTAATTCAAACTGAGCAAAATAAATCAGAAAAAGTCATTTACTTGTAAATATGAATGTCTCCTAAAAATATTCAGATATTTCTAATCTTTTTGGGGTGAATTTTAAATTTTGTCAAGATTTGCAAGTATTTCCGTTAAATTGTTATCGACTTCATCTCGATTTAGGTACACTTCCGTTCGACGCGTTTGAGGGAAACTTGTGATTCTTGTGCCCAAATCAATTTCTAACAAGTTTTAATCTTTTACTCATCCTAAGTTCAATTGTCGACTTGTGTAAACTAGGTTTTATGTGGCGACGACAGAGGCGAAGGCTTCGGAAGACGACGTCGAAGTGTCGACAAGAACACCACTGTCGAGTTCCAAGTCTCGACATTGGTGTCGACGACGCCAACGAGCATCTCGAAAGCAAATAACAAAACCAACGATTTTGAAAACGAAATTTCCGTCCGAATCCTCGATCGCTACACAGGTTGGAATCATGACAATCATTAACCTTCCGTTATTTACAAAATTATTGTAAAAATTTCAAATCAAAGCGTTTCGAAATATTCAAGTTCCCTCATAAATTATTATTTTTCTGTACGTCTCGTATAGAAATGTTTACACTAATTTCGGGATCCGGAAATTCTCAGATGGGCGACCGGAAGCAGCAGGAAGCAACACGGTCCAGCTGCAAAGCTGTCGAGTGTACATGCTCGTCACTGCTGTCGTCGGCGCCGTGCTTTGCCTGCTCATCTCCGCCGTCACAGTGTTTGTGATGATTCGCAAATGCGAGACTCGCCACAAGACCCGGAAACACCATTCGGAAGCAGCTTCTTCTTCTTCTTCTTCCTCCACTTCCTCGTCAATGTCGAAAGCTAATACCACCACGAGCAGCCAGTTCGACGTGTCGTCGTCGACAGTGTCGTCTTCATTGCTGCCAGCTGCAGCGACACATGATGATATGGCGACACTCGTCAGAGCTGCGACGCGACGGCGGCGGACTTTGAGGAGGCGGAATGAGGGACTGAGAGGCCGCAGTGTCGACAGAGGTGTCGAGCAAGGCATGACGAAGGACGACGCCGAGTTCTGGCTCAACTTGTTCCAGGCTGCTCGAAGTGACGACCGCGACACCGAAGGAGGCGGAATGAGGGACTGAGAGGCCGCAGTGTCGACAGAGGTGTCGAGCAAGGCATGACGAAGGACGACGCCGAGTTCTGGCTCAACTTGTTCCAGGCTGCTCGAAGTGACGACCGCGACACCGACGGCATTGTGACGGGTCACAACAAGAAGGTTCAGCGGGAACTCTTGCGGGTATATACAGTAACACCTTTTCTCTGATTTCAATAAAACCCTGCATAAAAACCTAAAAATATATGCCACTTATTTATAGTGGTTTTAGCTCTTTCAAAAGCGTCTTCCAGTGGCGTATGTAGGAAACAAGCACCGCCAAAGTTTCAAGTTTCCGGCAAACAAAAAAGCTTATGGCAGCAAGAACGAAGTAAATACAGTACTGTTACTGTATATACCAAATGAACTGATTAATTGATTGATTGATATACAGTAGAAGCTTTATTTGCGTCTTGTCCGCGTCGTTCACATGACTGAAAACACATATCCTACATTAACACCTTACGCCCTCGTCTATTCAAATATACATTCTGGCATATCATAGGAAAAAATAATTCACTGTATGGGTGTGTTAAAAGAGCATACATAACAATACATACAACTGCCTAAATCATGAGTTGCCATACTTTCTTATTTGGGATGACAAAAATCACAGCACAAGGCAATTACTGAGAACAGATTGAAGCTTGCAAGATGTTGAGTCAGTTTCCAGATACATTTTTATCAGTATTGAGCAATTTAGAGAGAATCTTTGAGGAGAAAGCAAATGACAGTGCCCTAAAAACAAAGAAACAGAAACCCGCTCTTTGGTTTTTGTTTATTCTGTCCAGCTATACATCAATCTAGAAGTTAACTGCTGAGAACGAATGAATGAACAGAACACTTTATTTGCCGCTTTTCAGCATTCACAAGGTTCAATCAAGATTCCCACAAACAAACCCCCTTCCCACCCAACCCAAATCCACAAACGCCTGAATGGGTATGCAGTAATTAATATACCGGTAAACATTGCAAATTCTCAATAAAGTCTAGAACTGTACATGCATTACAGTAAAATGAAAAAAATGGCAGCCAAAATTCAATTTTAAAAAGTTTGTCATCCCATCTGTTGAATTTCATGGTTGTCACTGAAACAAATACCCCTTCGCAAAAAAAGTCTTCTCAGCAGTAAGATAGATCTACAAGTACTGGAATTCAATGAAGAGCCCTTTCTGAAATCTTAAAGGATCAAGATAAACTGTTGGCTTTATATGATTTCTTATCAAAGATTCTCCGTAATTTCTTCATTCAACTAAACCTCATACAGAAACAAGCTGAAGACCTTGTGCTTTAAATTAATTTTTTACATATATTTTGTTACCAATGTCAGGGAATGAATGGGTGTATGCATAAATGTCAGATTTCAAGTTGTATTTTGTGGATTGTATTTTCTTTTATTTTTGTTATCAATTTGTGCTCTGTTTCCTGCTCTGAAGTGATTAAATGTCATTGAGTGGATTTGGGTTGGGTGGGAAGGGGGTTTGTTTGTGGGAATCTTGATTGAACCTTGTGAATGCTGAAAAGCGGCAAATAAAGTGTTCTGTTCATTCATTCGTTCTCAGCAGTTAACTTCTAGATTGATGTATAGCTGGACAGAATAAACAAAAACCAAAGAGCGGGTTTCTGTTTCTTTGTTTTTAGGGCACTGTCATTTGCTTTCTCCTCAAAGATTCTCTCTAAATTGCTCAATACTGATAAAAATGTATCTGGAAACTGACTCAACATCTTGCAAGCTTCAATCTGTTCTCAGTAATTGCCTTGTGCTGTGATTTTTGTCATCCCAAATAAGAAAGTATGGCAACTCATGATTTAGGCAGTTGTATGTATTGTTATGTATGCTCTTTTAACACACCCATACAGTGAATTATTTTTTCCTATGATATGCCAGAATGTATATTTGAATAGACGAGGGCGTAAGGTGTTAATGTAGGATATGTGTTTTCAGTCATGTGAACGACGCGGACAAGACGCAAATAAAGCTTCTACTGTATATCAATCAATCAATTAATCAGTTCATTTGGTATATACAGTAACAGTACTGTATTTACTTCGTTCTTGCTGCCATAAGCTTTTTTGTTTGCCGGAAACTTGAAACTTTGGCGGTGCTTGTTTCCTACATACGCCACTGGAAGACGCTTTTGAAAGAGCTAAAACCACTATAAATAAGTGGCATATATTTTTAGGTTTTTATGCAGGGTTTTATTGAAATCAGAGAAAAGGTGTTACTGTATATACCCGCAAGAGTTCCCGCTGAACCTTCTTGTTGTGACCCGTCACAATGCCGTCGGTGTCGCGGTCGTCACTTCGAGCAGCCTGGAACAAGTTGAGCCAGAACTCGGCGTCGTCCTTCGTCATGCCTTGCTCGACACCTCTGTCGACACTGCGGCCTCTCAGTCCCTCATTCCGCCTCCTCAAAGTCCGCCGCCGTCGCGTCGCAGCTCTGACGAGTGTCGCCATATCATCATGTGTCGCTGCAGCTGGCAGCAATGAAGACGACACTGTCGACGACGACACGTCGAACTGGCTGCTCGTGGTGGTATTAGCTTTCGACATTGACGAGGAAGTGGAGGAAGAAGA